AAGACTGTGTACTGCATGTAAAACTTGCTCTGCTTGCCAAACATCACTACAACTGGATACACCAGGTTGAGCAGTGCAGACAAGTGAAGGAAACCATCAATGACACAGAGGTAGTGGCCTACATGGATTTCTCTGGGAACTATGCTTGCGAGCTCTACACCGAGATTCAAGCTTTCCATTTTGGTAGAAGTCGTAAACAGGCCACAATTCACACCAGTGTGGTTTACACATCAGATGAGAGTCAATCATATGCCACTATTTCAGACAGCCTATGTCATGATGAAAGAGCTGCGTGGGCACACATTGAGCCAATTTTAAAGAAGTTGAAGGAGCAGAACCCTACTATTACAACCATCCACTTCATTAGTGACAGGCCTGTTACCCAGTATAGAAATAAGCACAACTTCTATGTCCTTACCACAATGCAATTTTATTCTGGAGTTCAAGGAGCTTCTCTCTGAGAAACCCCATGGTGAGGGTGCACCAGATGGCGTGGGTGGCGCTGTAAAGCACACTGCTGATCAGAGGGTGAAAATGGGAGCAGATATTCAGACAGCAAAAGAGCTCCATGAAGGTTTACAAAGTACAGCCTCTATAATCAAGTAATTTTGGGTCAGGGCTCGAGACTAACGGCGTCCTATCGTCCTGGGGACGATAGAAAATGTGTTAAGGACGAACAGAAATATTCTCCAGGAAAACAAACGAGACTATTTTGGGTGAATTTCGATCATGTGGGGGGCTGGTGACGTCATGAATAATAATGTAATGTCTAATATTTTAAAACCCGATGCAGCACAAATTAATCTTTTACCGGGACAATCCAGCACAAACGAAGCACAAACAAACGAGACTATTTTGGGTGAATTTGGATCATGTGGGGGGCTGGTGACGTCATCAATAATAATGTAATGTCTGATATTTTAAAACCCGACGCAGCACAAATGAATCTTTTACCGGCACAATCCAGCACAAACGAAGTACAAACGAATGAGGCTATTTTGGTTGAATTTCGATCATGTGGGTGGGCTGAGTGACCTCAGATGACCTACATAAAAATATTTTAATATCTAAAAAACCGAAGCAGCTGAAACAAAACGTTTTACTGCACAAACCAGCACAAACGGAGCACAAACGAACGAGACTATTTTAGATGAATTCGAAGCATGTGGGGGGCTGAGTGTCGTCATCGACCTAACCTTCAATGATTAATATTTAAAAATCCAAAGCAGCTCAAACGAAACTTTTTACAGCACAAACGGAGCACAAACGAACGAGACTATTTTGGATGAATTTGGAGCATGCGGGGGGCTGATGACGTCATCGCCTATAATTCAAAGTCTGTTATTTTAAAACCCGACGCAGCACAAAAATTTTACCGGCACAATCCAGCACAAACGAAGCACAAACGAACGAGACTATTTTGGGTGAATTTTGATCATGTGGGGGGGCTGAGTGATCTCAGAATGACCTAAAAATATTATTTTAATATCTAAAAAACCGAAGCAGCACAAACGAAACTTTTTACAGCACAAACGGAGCACAAACGATTGAGCATATTTTGACGATGTTTTGCGTTGGGTGGGGGGCCAACTTCACGCAGGTGGCTAACGGCCAGGTTAAGATGGCACGGCAGTCTTTTCTCTTTTACCTCATTATAGCGAATGACGTGTTAATGTGACCCCGCCCACTGAGAGCGCGTGCTATTCAAACACTAATGTTGAGGCAAACCATGAAAACGCCCACATCGATAAAAACATACAGTTTATTACGGATCTAACCTCGTCCTAACCTTTTGTCTTGCTGCGCTGTGAGGAGATCCTGGAAAAAATTACCTCAGTTACAGTTTCATTTTGAGGATCACGGATTCAGCTGATGCAGTAAGTCGTTATAGTGCTTTGTTCTAATCGCGTTATTGAATAATGTCTGTAAACTCCACAAAGACTGTTTAAACATTAAATGCGCGTCTGATAGGAAGGAATAGACGAATTCACAGACGTGCGCGCGGTGCGTTAATTCACTTTCGCTCCGACATGCTTACATTAGTAAGATAACATTCTAAAGCCTAGTTTTCTGTATAACCAAAAAGAGTGTTCCCTTTCGTAGTTACTTCGAGTTACGTCAGAAGTGACGGAGATTGGGGGTTTCGCATAGAAAGCCAATCCTCTTCGAGTATTTAATCACGAGCCAATGGCATGCTATGCCTTGGGGCTGCGGAAATTTGCATAGCGTACTCCGCCCTACTCCGTGAGTATAAAAGGAGGAAGTGAACGCAACCGCAGTATGTTTTCGCTTCGGAGCCAAGAGACCTCTTCACTCCAAAGCCATTCTCACTGACAAGACTCTTCGAGACGAGCTCCTCTTCAGTGTTGGTGTGACGGCGATACCCAGCAAGATTCTGCATTGCCTGCGATCTGAGCAGTGGTCTGCCAGACTGTGCGCTTCTCCCTGGACGCCTCAGCGCTGAAAGAGTGAATTTCCTCCTCTCTGTTGAAAGAGCTGCACGTGGCACGTCTTTTTAAAGATGGTTCGCCCGTGTTCTTCTGGATGCGGTCGATTCATGTCGTCCTTTGATGGTCACGATCGCTGCTCTGTTTGCCTGGGCATTCAGCATGCAGCAGCAGCAGCGTTCGTGGATGACTCATGTTCCTTTTGTGGGGATATGACCATCTCTACACTGCGATCGAGACTCAATGATCTAACAAAAGTGAGAGTCCCCGCGTCCGCTACTCGTTCGGCTTCTTCTTCGAGAAGCTCTTCGACTCGCCGACAGGGTGATCTGACGGTGACGGTGTGGAACAAAAACCCGACGAGAGAACCTCGGGCCACACCCCCCGCTCCAGTGTCAGAGCCAGCGAGCGCTGCTTCGATTCAGGCGTCTGCCTCTTCGCAGGTACCGTCTGTTTCATTCGGCGCTCCAGAGGATGACGCGATGTCGATCGCGGCATCACAGGGCGGGCTTGAGTCTTCGGGAAGTGAGGATGCGGCTGCGCTGCCTCCCTCGGAAGCGCCAGCGTTGCCCGTGTCTGATACCGAGATGACAGCCCGTGGGTACGCTGGGATCCCTCTGGTGGAGCGCTCTGTTGCGATGCAACTGTGTCCGCAGAGCACCTCCTCTCGTGGGGCGGCGCGATCCTATAGAGCGGCGGGACAGGCAGCCGCTGCTTTGCATGCCATGAGCACTTTGCAAGTGTTTCAAGCCAAACTGCTCAGGGACATGCACGAGGGCGGGACTGACCCAGCGGCTTTTAATGAGCTGCGAGCGGCCACTGACCTCGCCCTCCGGGCGACGAAAATGGCTGCTCGCTCCGTTGGGCAGGTGATGGCCACTAGCGTGGTCCAGGTGCGCCACCTATGGCTCAACCTGACAGACACAAAGGACGTTGAGCGGACACGTCTGCTCGACGCCCCTCTCTCCCAGGTTGGCCTGTTCGGCGGTGCGGTTGCCCAGCAGTTTTCGACCGCCCAGAAGCAGACGGAGGCCATCAAACACATTCTGCCCCGACGGTCAGCTGCTGCCTCCACCCAGCCGTCGGCCCAGACGCCTCCCTCTGCTCGCCGCTGAGGACGCCCCCCTGCGGCTCCCCTCCCTCCCACGCGTCCCCAGCAGCAGCCTTCACCCGGGACGCGGCGTGGAGGAGGCCGCAGGCATGCGTCGCAGCCCCCTCAGGCCGCGCGCCCCGCTAAGCGCCAGGCGAAGCGCCGTTCCTGAGACGGGCTGCTCAGTGATGAAGTTGAGTGTTGAGTGAATCTTTTGTTCTCAGCGCTCCCCGCTGCTCACCCACGGGTGGGCAGCACCCTGAGTTGGTTAAAGAAAGACTTAACATCATCACTGAGCACACAGACTGGAATGAGTACGCTCGTCGCCCCAGCGCGGCGACCCTCTCATTCCTCTCTGTCCCTGAGGGTGCAGAAGGGAGCGTGTGTCGTCCCTCGACTACGCACCTCCCCTCCCCCTCTCTCGCCAAACCCCGACAGAACAGACCCCCGTGGAACGCTCTGCCTTCCCTGGTCTCTTCTGTCGGGGAACGGGGCTCGACTGCGCATCCGCACGGGGTAACTCCCGAGCGCATGCCAGTCTCCCCGCCCCGCTGCCCCTCCGGGGGGACGTCTGTGGTTCGCATGACCCCGCTGGTTCACTTCCTGGGAGCTTGGCTAGAGCTCCCCGGGCTGTCCCGCTGGGTCATCAGAACGATCAGATTCGGCTACGCGATTCAGTTCGCACGGTCTCCTCCCCGTTTCAGGGGAGTTCACTCCACTTTGGTCGGTGGCAATGCCCCGGTCATGAGAGCGGAGATTGCGACCCTGCTGGCGAAAGGTGCAATCGAGACGGTCCCTCCAGCCGAGGTGAGGTCCGGGTTTTACAGCCCCTGCTTCATTGTCCCCAAGAAGACCGGTGGGTTACGACCGATCCTGGATCTGCGCATTTTGAACCGTACTCTTCACCGGCTACCGTTCAAAATGCTCACAGCCAAACGCATTTTCGAATGCATACGGCCTCAGGATTGGTTTGCAGCGATCGACCTGAAGGACGCGTACTTTCATGTCTCCATATTGCCTCGACACAGACCGTTTCTTCGGTTTGCCTTCGAAGGCCAGGCATATCAGTACACGGTTCTCCCATTCGGGTTAGCTCTGTCTCCTCGCGTCTTCACGAAGATTGTCGAGGCAGCCCATGTTCCCCTTCGCGAACAAGGGGTTCGCATCCTAAACTATCTCGACGATTGGCTGATTCTGGCACACTCTCGGGAACAGGTTTGCGAGCACAGAGACCTGGTGCTCCGGCACCTAGCCCGGCTGGGCCTTTGGGTCAACCGGGAGAAGAGCAAACTTTGCCCCGTGCAGAGGATCTCTTTTCTCGGCATGGAGATAGACTCGGTCGCCATGTCCGCGCAGCTCACGAGCGAGCGCGCGCACTCACTGCTGACTTGTCTTCGACAGTTCGAAGGCAAGAATGTGGTTCCACTGAAACTCTTTCAGAGGCTCCTGGGGCATTTTATTTATTTATTTATTTATTTATTTGACAGGGACAATGCAAACAAACATAGTGTCAAGATCAAGCATGTCACTGAAGTGTTGCATATAAAGTTTATACACAGTAAAACTGGCAGTGTTAAAAAATCAGTGTTACACTACATTTACTCTTAAGGAGTTGATTTAACAACAAATAGTGAAAGACACCACCTAGTGTTGGTGAAAATTATCAGAGTTAAATTGTCTCGTTAACTTTACACTGATAAGCTCCGCCCCTCAATCCAGCCAGATCAGACTTGAATTTCCTCGTGGTCGTCGCCATTTTCTTCTACATCGCACCGAATGGTAAGTTCTTTTAAGTAACACGTTAAAACTATTTTATGTGAATAAATGTGTTAATATTACTGTTTATGTTGTAGTTTGATGAATTTTGTGTATTGTGATCCGTTCAAACTCCGAATTGAACAACTTCTCAGTGAGTTCATCTGATGGAGAATTTTTTTTCGTCACAATGTGGTGACAATAAATGTAGAATGGTGTAAATGATCTTATATAATTTGTATTTCTGATGTTTACAGTTGGTATTGTTATACAAATAATGTGTATATTGTTATTTTTAAACGATGAATATCTGCAATACATTAGCCGCCCGCGTCGAGATCGCATTGTCTAAATTCAAAGGAGACCTAACGTTAATTTCAAATACTGTTGACTAACGTTAAACAAACTGTTGCACCAGAATGTATTTACTTATTTAGCTATTTGTTATAGACACAAAACGCGTTTCCACTGTCATTGTGTAAAACTGTGTTTCTTATTACAGAGCATGTTGGTTAAGGTGAAACTTGGGGATGGCCAAAAATTTGTTAAAATATCCGAGCTGAGCCTGAAGGAATTTTTGTCTGCTGGTAAGAAAAATATATACTTATTATAGCGATAAATTGTTTAATCTTGATGATTCAAATGTGCGTTTTTTATGCAGCTGGCCCTGAGCAGCTGTGTGAAATGTATTCAGTCTTGTCAAACACGCATCCATCGCATCCTTGTTTCTGTGTTGCAAATATTAAAATGAATCGCTGAAGTACTGGGATAAACGTTTAATGTATTGATATAAACTTGGAATAAAAATCGAGCAAATCACTTTTTTTAAACTTTAAAATAAAAGTGTATAGGCTACCAATTACATCGTTATGCCACAAGATGACGCCAAGAGACTGGAATTATGTATTTGTTCTTGAATCATTCATTCCAAAGATTAATTCAAAAGGCTGATTCAGTAGCAATGAAACATTTGATTTTATTAATTCTTTCGCACCCATGATGGCCTTGGCTGGTCCCTGCCTGGAGTAAGATGACACACACCGGTGCGATTATTACTGCACGATTGCATCACGTGATCAACTGCCAAATTCAAACCAGTATTAGCAACAAAAAAAATTAGTTTGTAAAATACACAATGATGTCTATGGAAGCGGCAATAATCATTTCCATTATAATAAGATGACATGTGCATCTCTGATTGTTTGGGATTTGGTAATTGTATTTTATAATACTGTCACATCTTACATTTGCTCTGATGTTAAGAGTTACCAACAAGTAACTGATCAACCTTGTAATGTATACCCTTTCTCATTAATTGGCATACTTTTTTCCCCAGCTTTTTTAAAGTTTGGTGTCTCAACTGTACCCGAGAATGTGAAGGTTGTCGATGAATCGGGGACAGAGGTGGATGAGGATGTTTTTGAGGATGTAGTGAAAGATCCCTCAGTTGGTGTTCTCACCATAAAACATGGTGAAGGTTTGTATGTTTTTATTTATTTTCAATCAATTTTCTCAGTACTTGTTTATTAGTATCATGAAGACTTGTTCCACCCTATATTCAACTAGACTTGGAATCTGCCTCTCCACAAGCCTCTCCTGTGCAGTTAAATGTGTCCCTGTCTTCATCAATTGACTCCACTGACTCGCAGGATACAGTAATTATTGAAGAAAGCTCTTCGAGTAAAAGAATTAGACTAGACGATGAAGCTAAAAAGGTGGGCATCAAAGTTGTAAAGTTCATCAATTTGAAATAGCTTTTGAATAGCCTTTTTATTTTTTACATAATTTGTTTCTGGTAATGTTTTGTACTTAAACATACCATATTTATGCCTTTTTTAAGTTGGTGGAATCCATTCTTGTCCATAAACCCGGTGGGGAGCATATAATAAATGAATACAACCGATTTAAGTCTTTGAGTGATGAAACGAGGAGGAAAATGGTGAACATCCTGGCAGCTGACATGACAGAAAAGAATGGGTAATCTGAGTATCTTTAACTGGTGTTTATATAATCTCTCAATGTTCCATAATTTCTTGTTTTTTTTTAACCTGTGCTAAAGCTAGGTTATTTTATTTATTATACAGTACATCACCACCAAGGCAGGTTAAAGAAAAATATGCCAGAGGAATTGTGTCTTTGTTCCCTTACCTCAGTGACCCCATGTCCAAAAAAGGCTACGTAAGAATCATCATTTTGTTATTATTTTAATTCATGTGTTGACATGTTAAATGCTGATGATCACACACACAATACAGGTGGTGTATTTTGCTCTTGAATTAATACTTTTTTTTTGTCTTTTTTTAGGAGCATTACTATGATGGTGAGAGTGGCACTGGGTACTTGGCATGGAGAATCAAAACTATACAAAGAGGCCTGGCTAAAGAACGAAGAGCATCATGTGATGGTACAGAATGTAATTCAGAAATCACCTTTTTTTTCATAGTTCATTGTGCCATCTATCACAGTTTTGTTGCTATTGAGTTGCCATAACTGACATTCTAAAGATGGTTTCTTTTACCTTTTTTATTTTTTAGTATGAACTGTCTATAGTTATTATCTTTATGCAGTGTTGAAGGTTCTAAAATGCTTAATTCATCAGGACAAGGATCGTCTGCTGAGGGGATGTCTGGTGGACCAATTGTAAGACGGGAGGCAGAGTTTACTCCGGAGACCGTCTTGAGTGAGGATGAGTGCAAGGAAGCAATTGCATTCATGAACTATTCTGCTGATGAGGACGCAGTCAAGAAGAAGATGAAATTGACATTTGACTATCGCCGCAACATGGTTCTTGACCCTATGCTGTCAAGTGATATATTGACAGTCTTTCCACGTTTCAAAGACGTTAAAGGCTTGGTAAGTAAAGTCTTTATAATCCAAGATTTAAGGATTTTTAAAAATGCTTAGCTGTTTTCTAAAAAATACGTTTGTATAGGGTTTATATCTAATAGTGATTCCCTTCCTTAGATTGAGCAAGACTTTGTTCTGATGTTTGGAGAAGGAGCGTCAGGCAAGCTACTGGAGAAGTGGACTACTGCATTCAAGAAAAAAGTGATTCAGCAGTGCAAAAAGCTTCCAACCACCAGTGATGTTGGAGAACTCCTGCTAGCAGCTGAATCTCCGTCTGATGACTCAGAAGATTGTGTTAATTTTGGTAAGATGTTTAAAATAATTAAAAAAAATAAAATAACAGTATATTTTATTTAGGTCCCATAAATGTTTTTAATATTTATTCTTCATTATCAATTTTCTTTATTGATGAGATTTTGCTAACATAATTAAACATAATTAATTTTGTCTGAACAGTTTGGGACTCTGACCTCTCTTCTATAATACTGCTGTTGCATCTGATCCCACCTTCTGCCCAAGGCCGAAAGAGACCAGGAAAGGTGTCTGCTTCTCAAGCAGAGAAACATCTTGTTGTCTTCAAGAAGGTGTGTGTGCTTTTTTTTCCTTCTTTTTCTTCATAGTTTCTTTTATTTAACACATCAGTGATGGTTCTCTTCAATTTGCTTTGTCTTTTCTTAGAGTGGAACAAACATTGAGGAGCATCTTCGAAACATCACTGCTAGTGCTCAGCCCTATCTCCTGGCTGTGGGACCTCAGAAGAAATCAGTTCACCAGTTCTACATCATCCTCGATCAGCATGCCATTTCATGCAAGTCAACCTCTTCTCTTGGTGCCTTTGACGAACTGTTTAAGTCACACTTTGTTTTTGGTACCTCCTACAACACTATGCTACACAACATGTACACTTTCATTCAGACCACTGTGTACAACATAGATGTTGGCAAAGTGAAAGAGAGTCCTCGTGTTGCTGAAGTCAGAGCAAGGCTGCTTAGCTAGGTCACTTAAGTTTTTCTGCCCCCATGAAGTGTTTTGTTTGTCAAGCTGATTCAAATGGTTCAAAAGAGCTTCTTAGGCACCTCAGATTAGTTCATGGTTTTGTTCCTGGGAAGAATCTAAGCCTTAAATGCATAGAAGCAGGTTGTGGTTCTGTGTTCGGTACTTTTTCAGGTTTTAGGAAACATCTGCACACAAAACATGCTGAGCAAAATTTTGACACTACTGATAGCCATGAGACTACCAAGGCAGATGGACAAAGTAGTTCTGAAGTATTTGATCAGATTGGCAGTGCTGGAGAGGTGGCCGCAACATCTGTATTGTTAACATTAAATAAGAGCACTTTCAATATGTGTGCATCTGCTGTTGCACAACTAAAAGTTGCTGGATTAAGTCAATCTGCTATTAATGGTTTTGTTTCATCTATGGAAGAAATGGTTTCTGAGATTCATAGTCAGGCCCAGGATGCAGCCTTGCTCTGCCTGCCTTCACAGGACACCGCTACTAAAAGAAAGCTAGAACACTCATTTCAAATTTTGGAAAATCCATTTACTTTGTTAAATTCTGAAGCCAAGCGAAAGAGACTATGGAAAAGTGGGGAATTATTGAACCAAGCGAAATTGTGCTTGGCACAAGATTTGACAGCAGGAGGAATAAAACTACAGGAACATTTGATCAGGTTGTTGTAACTGATAAATTTGCTTATATTCCCATTTTAGAAACACTAAAGGCAATTTTACAAAATCCGCAACTTAATGATTTGTTTAAACCCAGACATGTTCCAAAAGAAGGCATTTATGTTGACTTGAGTGATGCAGCATATTTTAAAAGTAATCCTTTATTTTCTACAGAAAAGGATGCCTTACAAATTCAGTTATTTTATGATGATTTTGAGACCGCTAATCCTTTGGGATCCAAAAGGGGCATACACAAATTGGGTGCTATCTATTTTACATTAAGAAATTTCCCGCCCGTTTTTAATTCCTCATTGGTGAATATTCATTTATGTGCCCTCTTTCATGCACAGGATATTAGGCGCTATGGTTTTAATTCTATTCTTGAGCCTATAGTTAATGATTTTAAAATACTGGAGATTGAGGGGGTTAAGAATCCACTAACTGGAAGTTTTATCAGGGGTACTATTGTTCAAGTCACTGGAGATAATCTGGGCTTGCACGGCTTGTTTGGGTTTCTCAAGTCATTTGGGGCTCGATATTGCTGTCGTTTCTGTCTTCTTGAGAAAGATCGCTTTCAGTCGGTGTTCTGTGAAGATGATCCTGAGGTTGTACTAAGAACATCTGAGATGCATGCTCTGCACTGTGAAACTTTACAAAAAAATTCTACACTACCCCATGTTTATGGTGTCAAACGGACATGTTTGTTAAATTCACTCAAGTATTTCAACACAGCCAACAATTTCGCAGTGGATATAATGCACGACATTCTAGAAGGAGTTGCTCAGCTAGAGGTAAAACTTGTTCTGCAGTACATTCAGTCTAATTTTCTGAGTGCTGATGATATTGCTGGTAGAGTACATGCTTTTGACTATGGTTACAATCAGCCAGTGTTGTAGTACTCGAGACTCGGACTCGTCTCGGACTCGGTCTCGAGACCATATTTTAATGGTCTTGGTCTTGTCATGGACTCGTGTGCATTTGGACTCGGAATTGACTCGTACTCGAACATTTTTTTTTTTTAGGACTCGGACTTATTCCCGAGTCCACTCGTGTTCAATTCAAAATATTTTTCATGATTATTAATGTATGTTAATAAAATATTTCTTTAAATTGATTGACACGCCCAGTGATTGGTGATTTTCTAGTGCGCAACTGCGCATGACAAATTGTAATAAAATTACTTTTAACACCACCTACTATGTGGCCTTTTTACCCTAAACTGATCATATTTTTTAAACTCTAAGTAAATTCAATAAAAAAAAAAGGATTTCTCTAAGTAAATAAAAGTAATAGAGGTAATCAACCCTCACTGGTCTCGGTCTCGACTTGGACTCGACCGTCTCTGGTCTCGGACTCGACTCTCTATGGACTCGGTCTTGACTCGGACTCGACTCTCTCTGGTCTCGGTCTAGACTCGGACTCGAGTGAGGTGGTCTCGACTACAACACTGCAATCAGCAGAAGAACCGTCCTCCAGTGGTCAAATTGTTTGATGGAAGCAATGATTTGGGTTTAAATGCAATCCAATCTTGGTGCTTGTTGCGCAATATGCCCCTATTATTTGGTGATTTAGTCCAAAGAGATGATAAACACTGGCATCTTTTGCTTTTACTTTTGCAAATTGTCAACATTGTATTTTCACCAGTCCTAACAGAAGGCATGACCATTTATCTTAAATTTTTAATAATTGAACATCACCAGCTATTCAAAAAATTATTTCCTGAAAGAAATCTTTTGCCAAAGCATCATATAATGATACATTACCCACAGTGTATAAGGAAAATTGGACCAATTCTTCACACGTGGTGTATGCGTTATGAAGCTAAACACACATTTTTTAAAACACAATTAAAAAGTTTCAAAAACATCACCAAAACACTAGCCAAAAAGCACCAATTTTGTATTGCGACGTACTGGGAGTCTTTTAGCCAGTACAGATTGTCTCTTGGCCCAGGAAAAATGGTAGACCTCTCTGAACTTAAATTTGGCCAAGAGATCGCTTCCAAACTAGGAGTGGGAATGTCAGAAGCTGTCTATTCTGTAAAGTGGATCAAACACCACGGCACTGAGTATCGCCCTGACTTTATTATCTGTACAGAAGTAGCATGTGAGATGCCAGTGTTTTGTAAGATCAAGACTATTGCTGTGAAAGACGAAAATGTGTTGTTGTGTGGAACACTGATGGAAACTGTATGTTTTGATGACCATTACCATGCATTTACAGTCAGACTGCATCCAGACAGAGTTTTAAAGGTAGTGAATATTAATGAGCTGTGCTCTTTCAAACCATTTGATCTCCAGATGAAATATGGTACAACAGATTCTGCACTGCATGTAGTTCCATATTGCCATTTGATGCAGATGTGATGTATTTTTGTAAATGAATGAGTGTTTCCTGAGCCTGAACATTGTTGTTTTAATAAATGTTTTAAATTTGACCGTTGAAGTTGTTTTCTTTGTTTTGAAAACTTGTTTTTAGTTAATTTGACCTTGTGTAAGATTAATTACTGTACTAACACCACAAAGGGAAAATTTTTCGTTATTAAAAATGTAAATATACTCTACATTAGTGAATAATTAACACCAAAACGAGTTCATTTTTGATTTGTGTTAAACTGTGGTAACACCAAACAGAGTTAATTTCCCCCTAGTGTTAAACTGTGGTAACACCAAACAGAGTTAAATTCCCCTAGTGTTAAACTGTGGTAACACTGTTCAGTGTAGAGCAGTGTTGAATTTTTACTCAAAATAGAGTTAATTTTACTCTGAAAATTTAACACCATGACTAGAGTCAATTTATCACCAATTCTGAGTGGGACCAAATACACTCGGACCAAGTGTTAAATTTAACTCTTATAGAGTTTGATTTTCGATATCTCAGCTCTGGAAGGGTCAAGAGCCTCCATTGTTGCACTCAGGTCTATGTCTCATGGCCCTCTATCAGAATCCAGAGTTTTGAGAAGATTGGAGAAACTTCATTTTTCGCCCGAAAAAAAAAAAAAAACGAAAGGGGTAGCACTGTCGTTTTTTTTCGGGTCGAAAGTTTGAGTTTCGATATCTCAGCACTGGAAGGGTCTAGAGCCTCCATTGTTGCACTCAGGTCTAAGTCTCATGGCCCTCTATCAGAATCCAGAGTTTTGAGAAGATTGGGGATACTTAATTTTTCACCCAAAAAAAAAACCGTAAGGGGTAACACTGTCGTTTTTTTTTCTGGTCGAAATTTTGATTTTCGATATCTCAGCTCTGGAAGGGTCTAGAGCCTCCATTGTTGCACTCAGGTCTAAGTCTCATGGCCCTCTATCAGAATCCAGAGTTTTGAGAAGATTGGGGATACTTAATTTTTCACCCCCAAAAAAAAAACGTAAGGGGTAACACTGTCGTTTTTTTTTTCTGGTCGAAATTTTGAATTTCGATATCTCAGCTCTGGAAGGGTCTAGAGCCTCCATTGATGCACTCAGGTCTAAGTCTCATGGCCCTCTATCAGAATCCAGAGTTTTGAGAAGATTGGGGATACTTAATTTTTCGCCCAAAAAAAAAACATAAGGGGTAACACTGTCGTTTTTTTTTCTGGTCGAAATTTTGATTTTTGATATCTCAGCTCTGGAAGGGTCTAGAGCCTCCATTGTTGCACTCAGGTCTATGTCTCATGGCCCTCTATCAGAATCCAGAGTTTTGAGAAGATTGGGGATACTTAATTTTTCGCCCAAAAAAAAAACGTAAGGGGTAACACTGTGGTTTTTTTTTTCGGGTCGAAATTTTGAGTTTCGATATCTCAGCTCTGGAAGGGTCTAGAGCCTCCATTGTTGCACTCAGGTCTATGTCTCATGGCCCTCTATCAGAATCCAGAGTTTTGAGAAGATTGGGGATACTTAATTTTTCGCCCAAAAAAAAAAACGTAAGGGGTAACACTGTCGTTTTTTTTTCTGGTCGAAATTTTGAATTTCGATATCTCAGCTCTGGAAGGGTCTAGAGCCTCCATTGTTGCACTCAGGTCTAAGTCTCATGGCCCTCTATCAGAATCCAGAGTTTTGAGAAGATTAGGGATACTTAATTTTTCGCCCAAAAAAAAAAAACGTAAGGGGTAACACTGTCGTTTTTTTTTTTGGTCGAAATTTTGAATTTCGATATCTCAGCTCTGGAAGGGTCTAGAGCCTCCATTGTTGCACTCAGGTCTAAGTCTCATGGCCCTCTATCAGAATCCAGAGTTTTGAGAAGATTAGGGATACTTAATTTTTCGCCCAAAAAAAAAAACGTAAGGGGTAACACTGTCGTTTTTTTTTTATGGTCGAAATTTTGATTTTCGATATCTCAGCTCTTGAAGGGTCTA